ACGGGTATCTTGAACTGTTTTCGCAACGCACACAACGATATCACTGAAAGGTAAATTTAGCGGAAAAACTCCCTCCGTATTTTCCACATTTCCCTATTTTCTTCACTCCTATTGTTTACAGCCCGATATTTTATATCCAAACATTTCTCGACAAATGGCCCAACCTACACAAAAAAATAATCATTCTTGAGTATAGCGCGTTTACACAAACGCTTAATTTAGGAAATCAATTGTGTAAGGCTTTCACGTCCACCGTTCTGGGTAACATTGTTTTCGGGGTGTTCGGCCGCCGTGAGCGAGAAGAGGTTCTCGACGTTTCGCCGAGACGAGCGGACGGCATCATCAGGAGATGTTAGCTCCTCGATTGTTCGAAGAATTATTTCTTATAGATTATCTACAAGAACAATAACAAACACTTTAGAGTTATAATATTAGGGTTGATATAACCTTTTTGTTTAACGTGTTTTTTTTTCTAATATAACAGCAATATTAAAATACTCGTGTATACTCGTTACGAATTTATTATGTAACAATGTTTGCTTCAAATTTCATTGTAGCGAATAAGCACGAAACTGATGACATTTTCCGCTTTGCTTCTAAAATCACGTGTAATAATACAGAGTGTGGAATAAAATCAACTATTTCCTATGAAAATTTGATGAGGTTTCGGGGCTTTGGTTTCAACTTAGGATTTACGTATCTAACTTAACTAATAATAGAAAGTACCAAAAGGCGTATTATTGTTTAAAACATTTCTTTAATGAGAGGGCTGCATGGCAGTGATATAAATTTAGCTCCTTAGGTTAATAAATTCATAAAAAATGTATTAGTTTATAAGACAAGTTGAAAAAAAACAGACTGAGTTTCTTGGGTGTTCTTCTCGGTTATGTTGCTTTCTTCACTCTGTAGAATCACAACAGACAGACAAACATTTTTTTTTGACGAATCTAAATAATTTTTATAGAGAATCAAGTATATTTTATTTTAAGACCAAGCTGCTTTTTTAAATGAACATAATTGGGGATTACTAACGGACCGCTTTTGTAATCCCGAAGACGGCCTCTACAGGTTTTCTAGTGGATTATAAAAGGTTACAAATTTCCATGGTGGCAGAACTCACTATCCACCATGTAAGCCGCTTGCCCGTTAGAGTAAAACCCCATTTCGCCCGTGGAGCAAGGGGCGAACACATTTTCGTGTCCGTTCACTGATCGGTTTTATTAACAGGCAAATAATTGATCAGCTTTCTATGCCCTGACCGACCGAAACGATCAAATATTTTCCGGAAATCGAATAGGACCTCTCGCGCTCAACGCGATGTTGAGGTACTAATATAGTTCGTCTTATAAACCGTTAAAGTGATTAATTTTAGTATAATACTCTAGTTTAATATCGAGTTTGAACTCAGTATAGCTAGATAGTATACGTAACTATATCGCAGACAAGATGCCATTACAGTAAGCTGTAGTCATCTCTGCGATATCGCGGTAAGAGCACTTGAAACCACTGAACTAATCCACTTCACCTCGACGGCACTTCACTAGATAATATCCCTATATAGACCTCCGTAAGCAAACAGACAAACAGATTTCTGCTGAGAAGAAACACATTTTTCTATTAAGTAAATACTAAATCCATTGAAGTTGTGTTTAACGAAAATAAAAATAGAAATGGTTACTAAAATTAGATAGATCCATAAAGAATAACGCCCTCTCCAAGGTTACATGTCGAAAGATATTGCTCTAACGCCGAGGTCCATGGTTCAGTACCTGGAAAACAAAATAAACAGTTTGAGTCAACTCCAACTTAGGGAAAAATTCTGATTATTTGCTGTAATTTGAGAATGCACATTTAAACCACTCTTTAACGGTTCAAAACGGGTTATAACGAATTTTCAATTAATTTTATCTGCAACCCGATGTTTTGCAGCCGTGGTCGTGAGCTGAAGTTATCTATATTATAAAGAGGAAAGATTTGTATTTTGTATGTAACGATAAACTCAAAAAGTACTGGACCGATTTTAATAATTCTTTTTTCATTAGAAAGCTACATTATCACTGAGTAACATAAGTATATATATATACTAAACTAGATTACTATTGCAATCTTTAGAAATTTATATGAAAACCAACGAGAGATGTAAAAAAAATAGCCATAAATATCTTTCAAAGCATACGCTGCGAAAAGTATTTATGATAGGACAAAAGAATATTCGACAATATTATAGAATATATCAATATCTACAAAAAAAAACATCGCCAGAGCATATGTCTAACTATTGTAGTTACGTCACTATAACTACTTTCTTAGTACTACTTACTTTCTAAATTGATAGAAATGCGGAACAAAAACAGGCCGTGTTATCTATACCAATTATACATTTTTATCCAAATAAATAATTACTCAAGACTGTCTCAATACCTGATGATTACTTTTTTAATTATTGAAATCGGACATTCCATTAAAAAGATACCATTAAATTAATATAAAAATACATGCCGGCGGCGGCCGCCACGCGCGCATCGAGTAACAGTGGACGCGAGCGACATTTAATATTTCGAGTTTTTTTTACATTTTTATGTTTCACTTAAAAAATTATTTAAGAGCTACTTAGTTTTAATATTAGAAAAATCACACTCTGCATAATATTTGTCAAAATTCTTTTCGGAATCATCTCTTTGAACTTGAATATCGCATCTATGAACGAATGACAGTCAAGCGCCAAACTCGTGCAGGACTGTAACACTGAACGCTCGCAGCGCGGCCCCTGATGCAGCGAGCTAGACAACGATCGCTAACAAGAAGCTAGGACGCGATAAATTTTTTTTCTAATTTAGCGATTCATGATCTTTTTAACTATCATTCCATAAATTTAACTATCTGTACCTATTTATTTCTACCCGTGCAAAGTCAGGACGTGCCGCTAGTCTGGTATATTTCGCGTTTTGAACCATAAAAAGTGTTTTATCAAAAAAACGTCATTAGTTTTCAGTATACATAATGGAGTTATAGTCTCTCTATAATTGTTTAGGTTAGGTTAGGTTTGGTCAATTACTAGTCTGCAAAGCGATTAAAAATAAACTCAAAAATGTGTCTGCCCGTCTTACACGAAAAACGCGTTTTCTCTAATTAATAATATGTTTTTAATATGTTTTATAATGACTATCGTATGTTTGTGTTATGAAGGAACACATAAAATTGAAGTGTAAATACTTACATACAATAATAATTATTATTACAGAAATAAAATGCATATATAATTGTAAATTTAAATAATATTTTAAGAAAACGAAAATCTTAATAATTAAATATCGCCTTAGTTAAGAATAATCTACTTAAAATTTTATGTATTCAGCTCTCTCATTATTAAGGTGAGATGTGAAGATATCAAACGAGCTTTCATTAACAATTACTGTTTCGCAAAATACTATGTAACACTTTGAATTATAAGGTATTTTTTACAATGGAGAAATAAAATTCACGTATATGTCAATTATATTTAAGTCCACAGCTTCTTCTGAAGACATGTTAATTGTAAATTGTTTCAAAATACGGCAACAGTACGACTATAGATTTATTTTTAATAAGATTGTCTAGATAGGTTTTTTATTTTCAAACTAAAAGTATTAATTCGTTCACATAATATAATTTTGAGCAGCTCATTTGGTATAAGTACCTACTAAATGCAATATCTGCCACAAAATCCAAGACTAGAACTACTGTTGGAAATTGATGAGTTTCATGTTAATATTTTGATTTTTTTTTGCAATAATTAGTAATACTGCCATCGCATTAACCTATCTAAATAAGACCTAAACTCGACAAATACAAATTAATATCTCCCTCGCAGCGCACCTCGTTCCAACTCTATTTACATATTCGCCCTTTGTGAAGTGAAATTTTGAACATACTTCAAGTGTTTAAAGTATTCCGTTAATTTGAACTCCGAACGAAAAAGGCTGGTATGCTTTGACACAAGCGAATTATTGCAATGTTGCTTGTATAAAAAATGAGAAGGAAAAAACAGTTAGACGTTATTTATTTTGATTAGCGAATTCCGTGAAATAATTTATCAAAATAAAACAAAGTTGGTATTGACAATAGATAAAGATGGTCTTTGAGTCACAGGTTAAATAGAGCATGTTACTTTTTTAATTTTATGACCAAGATAATTCAAAACGACAGTTACATTGCCCTTAATTTTTTTACAAAAATATTTTTCTATAATAAGCGGAGTAAGAAAAAATTACATATATAGATATTGAGGGTAGTTAAATACTGTCTATAGTTACGCGAGTAGTACACATTTAAATAAAACACTTTAACGGTTTAAAACGCGATATATTAATTAAAATAATTTTCAAATAAGTTTAACTAATATATCGCGTTTTGAGGGTAGTTGTTCATGATAGCTGTATTAAAGCAACGTCCCCGTTTTGTTACTAGGTTGCTTTTATTCTACCGATCTAAAGTGTTTTAAAATTCAAACTATAGACTGTAATTATAATGCTTTGATTGGGAGTCTGAGATAAATGTAAACTATCTTATTATTATTATAAGCTTCTGCGAGCAATACGTTCTTCGACTGTGAGCTATAGCAGGTTCAATCTCCATCGGTACCAAACACGGTGTGTCATCCGTTTGGTTTTATAAGATTATAATTTTACCCTTTATTACGTCGCGTAAATATAGCATGTAATGGTTAAAAAATTTGAACATTATTGACTAATTGTTTCCTTGCACCTGATATGCCAGTAGGTCATATTACATCTGTTGTGTCATCCACCTCTGTATTTACTAACCCAATTAAAATACATTGTATCTAGTGATTCACTGACAAACTTTCGCTTAAAAGCGGTGCGTTTACAGTGACCACGCCAATTTCACAAAGCGAGGGCTCGAAAACTCCCGCTTTCAGGAACACGCTGTATATTAACCGATATTTTATTATTTTCGTTATCAGTTGTACTCTTGTGTCACAAATTGTTTTATTCGTCAACATGCTGCGCGCTGTTTTAGTATTGTCCCTTTTGGTCGGGGTATACTCTGTGGCGTTACAAGGCCCAACGTTAACAATTTACAACCCGTGCAGCCTCGGCATTATATATTTTGATAAATTAACGAGTGAATTGTGGCAGGGTGTTATTAATCTTAGTTTGTACCCTAATATAACTAATGCAGAAATCGAAGTGAATTTCGATAAGCCTATGGAAATTTATGGGGTAAGTACATTGGGTGTTTACTTGTTTTGTCATGTGCTTGAGTTCGTACGAACAAATTATAAGTATATTTTGGCTAGCATACTTAACGTCATTTGTATTATCAAAATAAAAATAAGAAAGTATCTCATCTACATTTTGTAAAGTTTAGCCTTATATAGAAATATTTAGTCGCTATTGTGTATTTAGTTTAATTAAAACAATCCATAAAACACTATGAGGAATTGTTGATATCCTAAAAACTAGCATTGGTCGGCAGTGCATCTTGTTTAGATGTTATATTGCTGAGGTATTTCACCTCAAGCTTGTCTGTCTGTTCTCTACGTCTACCCTCAAATAAGTAACATCGTTTTTGTTTTGATACATCATTCTATTTTGAAAGAATGAAAAGATTTTTCATAACAGACATTTGTTTTAGCAAATTCCCAAGTAGTTCCAGGCATCTTTTCGAATCGCCAATATCCGTATCTGACAATATTGACCGTGGCTCCGTTACAATGGCCGATTTAGCAACAGGTCGAAATGATGAAATGAGTAACTCATTCTCCGATACGAGAGCCTTATCGGGTCGGCCATAAGTAATTCCCTTCTCTCATAATACGAGCCCGGATAATCTTAGCTCGATGGTACTTCTAATAATGTTTAATGGCGCTATTTTATTTATAGGGATATTCATTTTAAATGTACGTCGTTTTTACCTTGATAAGCTTTATAAAATACTTACTGCGCCTGCGACTTCGTCCGCACGGAATAGTTACATTGGGCATCATATTTTTTATTTCTGCAAATCACTTAGTTTTATAAATTATAGCTGTTACGACGTCGGCCGCGTCCCGTAATTATTGCGAGAACTTATAACATACATATAGTGTCGTGGACAGTTTTTTAGATCATTAGATAGGAAGAATCTTGAACCGTTTTCGCAGCGCAAGCAACAGAAACTCAAAGATTTCCCCGATTTCCCCGTTTCTTTCACATGTTTTATTTGTTCTTCGCTCCTATTGGTCTCATCGTGATGTTTTATAGCCCAGTGCCTTAGTCGATAAATGCGCTAATATTTTTTAAATTTGAACCAGTAGTTCGAGATCTAAGCACGTTCAAGCAAACAAACTCTACAGCTTTATAATATTAGTATGGATTAGCATAGAGTTCGCTTCTGCTAGCGCTACCACTGAGACCAAATTTTTTCAGGCGTCACACAACAGTACAGTATACGCGAAGAAGGAGAGGCACAATTTCCTATTCAAGCCGAAAGGAGATTTACCATCGCGGTACTTCTTCTACATATCTGTGAGAAATAATGCTAGCGACGTGCCGAGTGTAACTAAAGTCAGATTGAATGATTTTACGCTATGCAACGCTACTATCAAGGTATGAATATGTATATTAAATATAAGAAAGGTCTACCACCTCTGTAGTTTATTGTTTATACGCTATACCATTGCGTTAAGCCAGAGAACTTGATGGGTTCGAATCCCGTGGAAACAATACATTGTGTCGTTCAGACATAATGTAATTGCTTCCCCGGGAACTCTAATCAACTATTTGCTTGTAAAAAAAACTGTGAAACAGACATAGATCATGTGTTCGCTCCATGCTACTCAGAGTGGAAAGAGTTTCACTATACTATACTTATTTTCTCCTCCTTACTAGTTATTTTTCCACTTTTATTTTTCCGTAGCTTAGTTCTAAAAAGCGTTGTATTTAGCAAATAAAATTATTGTATACCTATTAGCAATTACTAATAAATCAAATCGGTCGATAGTATCTAAAATGTGCCCCATGTCGGGATTATGGCACTTCAATTACTATATAGGTCAGTAAGCTAATATTGTTTAGTTACTTCATAATTAAAAACATTAATTATAATATATATATAAAACTAATTAATAATGATAAAAATGATTATTCGTACTTTCAATTTATCAATATTCCCTTATAGTACATAGTTCCTCTCTCTCTCAATTTTTAAGAGCTTATTCCCATCACGCTATTTCAATGCGGCTTAGTGGACTTTTATGTTTACCTTTTACTTAATAATTGATATTTATACGAACGTCTTAAGTCTTCAGTATAGGCTAAGCGTAATATAACATCAGATTATAACCTACCCTCATTTACAGAATGAGTTAACAGTCCAGTCATTTAACGCGACAAAAGCAGGGGACACGAACTACCGTCAAGTTTGTGGTCGCAGAACACTTCAGAACGCCGAACTAACTTCAGTGAAGACAGAAGCCACAGCTGGGGAGTGGCCGTGGCATGTTGCTCTACTAATCAGGCAAATTTTGTTTCTTGCCATGTACCAGTGCGGTGGAAGTATTATTTCTAGGACTGCTGTTTTAACTGGTAAGCTTTGAGTACAATAAAAAAGGTTTATCTTCTTATTTATGACATGGTAGGACAGAGAAGCATTGGATTCGCTATAAGAATGGGAAACAATATAACATTTAAATAAAACACTTTAACGGTTAAAAACGCGATATATTACTTAAACTTATTTGAAAATGATTTTTAACTTCGGCCCGACGTTTCGGATACTTCGCAGCAGCCATGGTCACGGGGAGACCATTGTCAGTTTAACTAATATATCGCGTTTTAAAACTTTAACTTCACTACTTATTAACCAGTTTTGATATTCCTACCATCCATGTAATAACCAAATATGCAGACGAAGTCCAAGATATTTCAGAAAAATTATACATTGATTAGAAACATCTTAAAGTCGATGGGGGTCAAACCCATGACCCGTTGATGATTAGCCATACATTGCTACCATAAGAACAACGAGTTCATTATAATCTATCTAATTTACTATAGCTTGAAATCACTGTTTTAAAGAAATAGTATAAAATATATATATATATGTTTTAAAATGGCACAGTCTTCACTTGGTCTGTTTCTGATGATCACCGTCTTCTGTAACCTGATCGACATACATTACCATGTTTCTTCGATAATTGTACTAACTATTGTAGTAACTAACTTAGCCTTTACTTATTAAAGAAATTTTATAAAAGAAGTAAGAACTAGATTCTGTTAGAAAATATTAATATTTTTTACATTTATAAACTTTAAAAAAATCAAAAATAAATTGAAAAAATTTTCGACTCGGGCAGGACTTGAACCAGCATCGTCAGCGTTCCGTGCTGTTGCTGTGGAACGGTGACGATAATAGATTCTGTTAGTATTATCTCAATTAGCCCAGGCCAGATATATTTCTATGTTCAATCTAGTGACAAGCTATTAGCTAGACTGAAGTAGTACTGAAAACAGAAAAAAAGCGAAGAAAGTAACGAACATAGTACGCATTTTAAACCGTAAATAATATTTCATTTACATTAATGTAATTTTACAATACATTTTCAGCCGGTCATTGTGTTTTCCTCAATGGAAATCCTGTAGATGTATCACGAATTATGATTGAAGCTGGAGTGGACAATTTAAGGGATTACAATCAGACTGGAAGACAAATACTAAACGTAAGTATAAAATAAATATTACTAATACTGTAAAAAAATATATTATTTGAAGCTACAAATAACTGACAGTGAAGTAACAGCCAATATTTTGGGTAACTGAAAAAACCAAAAGTTATTTAAAAAATGTTTGCCACGCCATTCGCACTGTTATTTTGAATATTACCAAAGGTGTTAATCTTATTAATTGTGTTATACATTGATAAGACTCCGTAATAATACCTTTAATTTCTCATTCCTTTCCATTTATAGAACTCACTAACATTTTCCAGTTTCAAAGCATTTTTATAACTCTTGTATGACTATAATAGTGTTTAGATTTTAATGAGATCAACCATACAATATTTTAAATAAATAGTCATGTACTCACATAACTTACGTCTTACTACTAAAATCAAGTACTCAATGCTAATGTCAAACTACTAATGTCAAAGTAAATTCTGAAAATGCAAAGAACGTTAATAGAGATACATTTTGCAAACATCTTACAAAACATTAGAAAATTACTTAGAAACAAATCGGACCCGGCCAAAATAGAACCTAGGACTCGTAATAACGAATGAGAAAGATAGAGCCAAGAATAACAACTTGATTCAATGAAACTATTTTGATATTAACGACAGCTACCAAGCACTACTAGCAAACAAATGCTCTAGGTTTACGTAAAGTATCTTTATTTTTCAGGCGATAGATGTGTTTGTTCATCCTGCATACGATCCAGATCAATCTACAGCGGATTTAGCTATTGTACGTGTGAACGCATTTACATATACAGAGTACGTACAACCGATATGCATCTGGGGACCATCTTATGATAAGAGAAATTTGTTTGGACAGCTCGCTGTGGTAAGTATACAAAAATCATACCTGAAAGGGACTAACTTCGTGGCACACCTTTTTTATGATAGAGTCATATAACAGTCATATAAAATCTCAACACGATGCGCTATCGACCTTATTTATCTTTTAATATTCACATATCCACAGACGGACAGACCATTAAAAATTTACGGCTTTTCTCTACCGGTACCACGATTGCTGCAAAACTTCTGTTAAAATAAATTAACTAATGTATTTCGTACACTTTTATCTATTGTTAATATATCTAAGTAACTAATACTTTAAGGCACACAAAAACATATAAGAGTATAAGACTTATCACTAAACATAAAAAAGACAAAATAATGTTATAATAATAAAACACTTTATTGTACAAACAAATAAAACGCAAGAAATTATTAACAATTAATTTTCATTTAAAAATAGTGCAAAGGCCTTATCGCCTATGTCGATTTCTTGTAGGCAACCTTTGTTTACGGGTGATGAAGCATGTAATAAAGAATTACTTACAATAATAACAAATACTTACACAATAAAAATCAGATTAAATATACATAATTAATATATTGTTAAGTCCTTATATAAATACTGAATATCTGATTTCAGGTAGTCGGCTTCGGTACGACAGAAGAAAATCAATTATCCGACACGCTAAGGTCAACGTACAGTGTGGTGCAGAATGATACGACGTGCATTGCGTATTCGCCCGACCTCTACACTGGCTTGTTGAACGAGTTCACGTTTTGCGCGGGACTCGATCCTAAATCAGGTGGGAAAATTATAACCACATATTTAAAAGTTGCATTAACTTATTAACAATAGTTAGATAATTATATAAATACTTAAAAAACTATGCCACCTCCGAAACGTACACGCTTGTGTTGAACACTGATTTTCAGTGGCCACATAATGACGTGTTAAAACTACAATTTAAACTGAAATAACCAAATCTCATTTTACAACAAAGATATATGTGCATCTAACATGACTTAATCACAAACATAGAAAAATAAAATGAAATTGTACATGATTATTAAAAGAAGAAAATCCAATAACCGAATAACTTTTCTTTTCTTGTCAAAACAAGGCCAATAGTACGTAAACTCGAACAACTGAAAAGTAAGGAAAACTGAAAGTAAACTGAAGGTCGATTTCCGGTGTATCGACTAATCGATCTAAAATGAAATCGAATTAAAAAGACCTCATATTTATGTTTATTGGTTTTGATCCATTTCTGGCGCAACGATCAGAAGTGGGACCAACAAGGGAACGTCCCTTCCATAATTTCTGCGTTACTTGAAGAGACAAAAGAAAATAAATTAGTTTTAGCTCCACGATCTCATTCTTTGGTTTTTATATATTTGTGTAAACATAGTACAAGTGTAATATATAGCAACTATGTAATGTCATCGTAAATATTGATAGTACGAGCCATCACTGCTGTTAGTACAAGGAAAATTAATTTCACAGGTACAAGCCCCCTCAAGGGCGACAGCGGTGGCGGCCTCATAGTGCCAACTATGCAGCCCGATCACAAAGTTAGCTGGTTCTTGCGCGGAGTACTTTCCAAGTGCGGTATAGCTGCCGGCGACACCAGATGTCATCCGAAGTTCTATGTCATATACACTAATGTTGCACCTCATTATGGTTGGATATATCACCATGCTGGCATTAATTATATGAGCAACGTCGTTGACTAATGTCTTGTGTATAGTACGTCTTATACAAGAAGGAAGTCTCTTAAATTTGCATTACGTGTAAATTATAAAGCCTTTGGTCAAGTGTATTAAACCGATAACAAAAGTACGAAAACTATTGGGGGGTTTTTGGTTAGTACAATTTTAGCTTTTAAAGGTATAAGGGATCGTGGGTTTGATTACGAGTGGGTCCAAATTTTTTTTTTTTTAATATGTTATTATTTGTATTTAACATTTAGACTTCATCTGAATAGTAGTATATCTTTAATAAGAGGATTATCGCAACCCTAGACATGAACCACTGTACAAAGATCCAAGAGCCGTGAAGCTGATTCACGTTTCAGATTCTGTCTGTGGATTTTGTAATACCAAAGTGCAAATAGTTTGTATACAATGTTTTAATTTTATATAACTGGGGCATTTCATCTTTGATTAAGTAAACCGCATGCTTGTTTGTCTATCTTTGTCACAAAATAATACGATATCTGGGACCAGTCATTTGGTTGAGCAAACAGTATGGAAGTTTGGATTGCCTGCCGTTTCGTAAATTTTGAATGATAACTCAATAAAAAACACACAAACGGCGACGTTAAAGATATATCTTTCAAGATTGTGCCTCACCACTCGTGTGTCACCCCCACTTAATTCTATGATCATCCCTTTTTTTAATTTCGTTATCGTTTTGGAAATATTGCTTGCTGTATGAACCATTTTGTAACTTTGAGTATTTCTAAATATCTACCAGTTTGTAAGTAAAATCGAACAAACGGCTTAAAATAAATTAATTTCATCTTACAATCAATGAAATAATTCAATCTTTGTTATGTACTATAAGGAGACCTACCACTGATAGTCTTAGAATAATTAGGAATTCTTTTTTAGTTACTATTATGTTTTTTGGTGGCTAAATATAAAATAATAATTAATTGTACAGTGTTGGCCTCTTTACTTCTAAATAGATATAGTTAGGTTTAAACTGTAAATATATAGATTAAATAAATTTTGTCACAGTGTAGAAATAAGAAGTAATGTTAACTATTAACTAACTTAGCAAGTTTTTTAAATAAAAAAAATATGAAACGATGGTTTAAAAGTCTTTCATTTATTCAACCGATATAAAGTACAACAATTTCTTCTTAAATCCCAACGAGTACAATAAAAGTAACCAGCCAGTTTTATTACGGTGTTATATAGTTACTTATTAAACGAACAACAAAAAAAACTTTTGAAAAAGATCAATTTTCACCTTAATTTTTATATTTCTCTTTACTATCGTGATAATTAACAAAAATCATTCAACCGGAAGATCGCAGCGAAAATCCGTGAAAAATAAATTGGAAAATGCATATAGATTTTCCAGCTATTCTTAATGCTTACAGTGACAGTAGCGTGTAATTGAATCTCTGCGTATCTCTTGTTCGCTTTTATACTCCATCGGTAGGGACATTTATTAAAGACATTATAATATCTACGGGATAGAAGTTATTGTTTAGAGGAAACTAGGTTCCGCTTAAGTATTCATAGGCTATAATGGTTCTATCCTAGATTGTGAAACTAATTGTATTCATTATTTTACGTACATTATATTCGATGTTTAAGGCGATCAAATTAAAACTACGTTAAATGTGTGAAACGAACACATTTCCATGTCTGTATAGTGTCATCGTAAAACATTTGTTTAAATAAAGCATTTATAACGATTTAAAACGCGATATATTAGTTAAACTTATTTGAAAATGCTTTTTAACTACGGTCCGACGTTTCGGATGATTTCGATTTCGAGCCGTGGTCGGTTCGGTGACCACGGCTGCTGCAATGCTAATCAATTCATTTACCTTTTAAACTACATATGCAGTCTTCGAATATCCAAAGTTAAAATAAGTCGACAGTGTTTCTTGCAAATATGTTATTTGCTGGAATATTTCACCCTCATCATGTCATAAAAATCTATCTATAAAAGAGAAAGAAAAGAAGGAAATTATAACTTTAGTAGTTTCCAGTTCGAGCCGACGCGTGTCGCTCGTTACAAGACAGTATCAAGTTGACAAGCTGATTAAAAACCCGATAAAATAAAAGTTGAACGAAGGTAATGGGATCTCGAAACAATGGCCGAGACAAGAGATACTTTTTAATGAAATTCTATTAAATTATGCAAAGCTTTCTTCGCAGGAGAAGAGAGCGTTAGTTATTAAAATTTTATTACTGTATTTTTTAATGTTTCGAGTAAATGCTTATTAATTTCCTATGGGGCAGAAGCAAAGCTTTTTATGTAGCAGGCAGTCTAGAAGACCAGGTGGCAAAGTATCATATATCGTTAGTTGTAGATTCGATTCCTGACTTATTTAATTTTTTAGAATATCTTTATAAAGGGAAACACCTTTTTAAATTAGTACAATAAGATTTTATGGTTTCGAATCTACAAACTACATTTTCTTAGGTGTGCAGAGGGCTTTTACTTTATATCATAATTATTAATACAATTTTGCACCGGAAAGGGTTTTAAAGGCCGTAGACCCACCATACTGCTTGAATGACTAACTGAATCTCACTTTTAAATAAACTGTACCCGATGGAAGCATCAAGGATGACACTTCCGAAATCCAAACTCGTGGAGAATCAAAACACTGAAAATACAAGTTTTGGACCTCGTGGTTTTCTTCCTATAGAGATCTTACAACAAGACGAACTAGAGGGTGTTTCATATAACTAGTATTTTAAAAGTTTCACCTCGACATCATCAAATTTCACCTTTTTATAACATAATAAAGATACTCTCCCCTCTATTTGATGGAAGTTTAACAAGTCCTTCGCGTTTTTAATTAAAAGTTTCGTTTAATGAGAAGACTCTTCTATCCCTTTATATTATTTTTTAATGATTAAGGAAACACTCAGGAGTAATGCTGAAGAAACGTAGTGCCACAAAGGATGTATAATGTCCCATCTTCATTAATATTCTCATTATTTATGTAATACAATATCATTTAATTCTATTTAAAAATTCAAATTATAATTGCATAATAATTAATGAAAAAATATTAAACTTAGTAATAATTACTAGTGCTAAATTGAAGTTAGTAAATTATAGCGTTAACACTTTTTCAAAGTATTACTTCCGAAATATAATTCCCGTGACTAAGGCTACTGCAAAGCCTCCGAAACGTCTATCCGTAGTTCAAAATAATTTATTTATTTTAAAATGTATTTATAAGGTATCTAAACAAATGTATTTAAGTCAAATCGATAATATTCCTCGAGCGATGTGCGAATACAAATTTAAGGTTAGTTAATAATGGTTTTAAAAGCAAACTGCCTTGTCTCGTGGTAAGTACAGTGTACTAACGGTTTTGAGGTCCATGATTGTAATCCTGAATCAAGATAAAGAAAAAGAAATTCTAGAACCAGTCCGAAGTAAAAAAGTCACCCTCGGGTTTCGACCAGATAGTTAAAGGTCACCATTAAAACAGCCTGATAGAGTAAGAGATTTTCTCTTCAATGGAAGATGAGACTTGTGCCCAAATGTTCAATGTGTTTTGTGCCCACTTTGAAACGTCAACGATGAAACGTTAATTACGTATAGTGAAACAAAAAGAAAAAAATTTTAACTTCGGCCCGGGTTGGGTTTTCCAACTAACGATATCGCGTTTATGTATACTAATAATATAAAGCTAAGAGCTTGTTTGTTTGAATACGCTATACTCAGGAAATACCGATTCAAATTAAAAAAAATATATTGGTTACAGCATTTATCAAAGAAGCCTTTAGACATGTTTTATAAAATATAACGTTGTAACTAATCGTCTAAGAAACAGTGGGCAATGTAGAAAATAATGTGGATGACAAGTACTCTTTGTGGGATTTTTGTTGCATGCGCTGCTAAAAAAAAAACAAAAAATGTGTATAAAAGAATGATTCCCCTTTAAATGATCTAATGTGTGTGATATAAATGTGCGACAATATGTGTCTATCTTTTAAGATTAACTTGCAAGAACGAACGGGCGGCAACGGTGACAGCTATGATTTATAACAATGAGGAGGTTTGCAAAAATACATTTTGGAACCCGAAATAACCCGAATAAAACGGACCGAGTCGCGGGCACAGCTAGTCAACACAAACGTAGCAAATATGAAGTAGCCCAACCAAATGATATCACACAGTTTCAATCCTCATTAGAACCGCAGTCGGCCATTTTAACTGGGAACGCGGAGAAATTGAAGCGAACTGCATGATCGGACGTTTGTTACTGTAATTAGATGCATGGTCATGCGCCGGTGATAGCGGCTTTACTAGTTTACTGCATGGACTGTGTGTCGCTGATTTATATGTTGCAGATCGAGGACTAAACATTTTTCAATGTGATCCAAGATCGTGTTTCCTAAGATTCAAAAAAAAAAAAAAAAAAACCCCAAGCCCGCCCAAAAACGAAAAAAAAAGATTTTTTTTTTTGGGGGGGGGTGTTTAAAATCGGTACCTGGACAGAATTTCGGTGTTCCTGCCACCCACTTAATATCCAGATTTTCAGACGAAGTTTAACGAATTTCAGAAAAATTTATGTAAAGTTCCAACTTTACATAAATTTCGACCTGTCGATTATTATTAGTCATACAATGCTACACAAATAATAGGATATAGAATTACAATATATGTAACATCTCATATAATGTGTTTTGGATGTGTGAATATATCATCGAAATAATATATAATCGAAATTGTCAGATTGCTCGAGATCTATCAATCAGACGAAATAGTGCACTCAGCTCCAGTCACCGACTGACTCTTTAGTCTATAAGAAAAACTCAAATTGATACAGTACAGTCGATAACTCAAGTCGCTGACAAACTTTTAAACTCCTAATACTTTTAAACCCGAGTTTAAAACTAGACGTTAATATAGCGAGGATGCCTTATTCGATTCGCAGCGTGGCGCATAGAAGAAAAGCATTTTCCTGTCCCTTCATAAACTTAATTTACGAGCAATTTTCGCTTCTATCTCGAATGAAATAAAT